CTGCTCATTTTCAACAGGTCCTCTCTTAAATAGCAGATCTGACCTTTCAGCATCCTTTGAGAAAATTAATTTCTCTTCATCTCTGTTTTAAATCTGAATCCCTTATCCTAAAACTATGACTTCTCATTCTAGATTTCCTGCATGAGTAAACGTCTGCTCTACATTTAGTCATTTACATTGCTCTACATTTACTTTGTCAATCCCTTTTAGCATCTTATAAACTTCAAAGAGGTCTCCTCTCATTCTTCTAAACTCCAGAATATGGGCTGAAATTGCTCAATATCTCTTCATCTGGCAAACCCTTGCATACTAGTATCCTACCATTCATGCACAAAGGCACCCAGATCCCTCTACACCAAAGCATTCTCAAGTTTCTCCTCATTTAGATAAGTTGCCTTTCTATTACTCTGATCAAAATGGATAACCTCAGACTTATCCAAATTTTTGCAGATGACTGGCATTTATTGCCCATCCCTATTTTACTGAAGATCTATTCAGATGAGTGGTCTGCAGAGGTCATGTTGAGGGTAGTTACCATGTCAATCATGTTGCTATGGGGCTAGCATTACATATAGCCCAGACCATGTGAATATGACATTTTTAGCGTAAATGGTATCAGGGGTTGGAGGAAACCAGTTGGAGCTTTTAGCAACAGAATCCAGCCTTTGTTTTAAAACTAACAATTGCTTATTATTTCCAGAATATTGTTTTAAAACCAAATTCAAATTCTCAGCCTGCCATGAGAACTGGGCTCGAGTTCTCTGGATTGCTATTACATAGCTATTACATAGCTATTACTTTTCTTTAAAGATAGTAAGAACTGCCGATGCTGGAGTCTGAGTTAACACAGTGTGGAGCTGGAGGAACACAGCAGGCGAGGCAGCATCAGAGGAGCAGGAAAGCTGATGTTTCGGGTTGGGACCCTTCTTCAGAAATGGGGGCTCTGAAATAAATGGGGGGGGGGTCGGTGATAGCATGTAGATAGTGGAGCGGATAGGATGGGAGAGAAGACGGACAGGTCAAGGAGGCGGGGATGTAGCTAGTAAAGGTGAGTGTAGATATGTAGTGGTGGGTTTGGTCAGTGGGGTGGCCCAAGTCATGCCTGCCTCTTTGTAGGATACGTGGAACAGTCCCTCTTCCACATCTACACTGGCACTATCCCCCACCTCTTCCTCCGCTACATCGATGACTGTGTCGGCGCCGCCTCGTGCTCCCACAAGGAGCTCAAACAGTTCATCAGCTTTACTAACACCTTCCACCCCAACCTCAAGTTCACCTGGATCATCTCTGATACCTCTCTCTCCTTCCTGGACCTCTCTATATCCATCTCTGGTGACCACCTCGAAACTGATATCTATTTCAAGCCCACCAACTCCCACAGCTACCTAGACTACACCTCCTCTCACCCACCTTCCTGCAAGAATCTCTTGTGTTTCCCACGCCTCAGCCCTCACACCCCCTCCCAGACAGAATTCCCCTTGTCCTCACGTATCACCCCATTAACCTCCGGATTCAACACATCATTCTCCGCCACTTCCGCCACCTGCAATCTGACCCCACTACAAAGGATATATTTCCCTCCCCACCCTTATCTGCCTTCCGGAGGGACCGATCTCTCCGTGACACCCCCATCCGCTCCACAATCCCCACTAACCTCACCACCCCCGGCACCTATCCCTGCAACCGCAGGAGGTGCTACACCTGCCCCTACACCTCCCCCCTCAACTCCATCCCAGGCCCCAAAATAACCTTCCACATCAAACAGATGTTCACCTGCACATCCGCTAATGTGGTCTATTGTATCCGCTGTTCCCGATGTGGCCTCCTCTACATCGGTGAGACCAAGCGGAGGCTCAGAGACTGCTTTGTAGAACATCTATGCTCAGTTCGTGTCAAACAACACCTCCCAGTTGCAAACCACTTCAACTTCCCCTCCTATTCCCTGGGCGACATGTCCATCCTGGGCCTCCACCAGTGTCACAACGATGCCACCCGGAAACTGGAGGAAAAGCACCTCATATTCCGCCTTGGAAGCTTACAACCCAATGGTCTCAATGTGGATTTTACTAACTTCAAGATCTCCCCACCCCCAACCTCATCCCAAGACCAGCCCCCTCCTCTCATCCCCGCTTCATTGACCTGTCTGTCTTCCCTCCCACCTATCCGCTCCTCTCACCTCACTGACCAATCCCCACCACCACCTACCTACACTCACCTTTACTAGCTTCATCCCCGCCTCCTTGACCTGTCCGTCTTCTCTCCCACCCTACCCACTCCACTATCTACCTGCTATCACCGGCCCCCCTCTCTATTTATTTCAGAGCCCCCTTGCCCATTTCTGAAGAAGGGTCCCGACCCAAAATGTCAGCTTTCCTGCTCCTCTGATGCTGCCTGGCCTGCTGTGTTCCATTACTTTTCTTTCTTAGGATGATTGCACTTAGCAATAAGGACAGATCACAGAATTAGGTGGTAGAAACCATTCAATAAATAAAGATACAAAATTAGGAGCAGGATTAGGTCATATGGCTCTCAGGTCTGTTCGCCATTCGATAAAAACATAGCTTATCTGATTGTGAGCTCAATTCCACTTTCCTGCCTGCCCTCTATAACACTCAACTCCCTTTTATGAATAAAAATTGTCTAACTGAGCCTTGAATATTTGCAATGTCTCAACCTCCACTGCTCAGTGGGAGAATTTCCAAAACTAATGAACCTTTGAGAGAAGAAATTCCTATTTATTGAAATGCAAGACCCAATATTCTGGAATCATGACCACCCCTCCCCCACTTGCCTGCATTTTAGATTCCCCCTCAAGAGAGAAACATACTCTAAGCATCTAACCTGTTATGTCCAGTCAGAATTTTATGCTTTTCAGTAATGTCACCTCTCATTCTTCTGAATTCCAGTGTGTACAGTTCCAACTTGCTAAATCTTTCCTCATAAGATAAAATACTTTCATCCCAGGAATCAACAAAGTGAACTTTCTTTGAACTGACTCCAAAATCCTGCCTTAAGCAACTTATTATTAAATTGAATTCAGGACGTAGAATATTACACAGGAATTAACTCCATATGTCAATAGAGTGAATGTTATAGAAGACTATGAAACTTTTATGTTCTGTTGGAAAGACAGATGTTAAGTTCAGTTATAAATAGACAAGCACAACCAGATTCCTGGCCTTCCATGAGGATCTGAGCTTCTCAGCACTGATTCCTTACAGTGGTTTTGTCAGCCAGCAGCTTCTCAATCACTTCGATTAACTGGTCTTTCTGATCTTGGTCCAAACTGTAACAAGACAGCAGAGAGCATGAAGTCAGGGTCAATTCAATATTGAGCAAAGATAATCCTATGGCCACTTTCTCTGCTCAACTGAAGGACCATTTAAATGGAAAAGTCAAGCTAAAATGTATGTGCAAGCAGCACTGACAGTTCAAGTTCCAAAAAGTGCCTGATGAAATTAGAAGATAGGTAAGGCTGGTACAACCACTGGCCTGTGGTCTAGGGTGGTAGCATATGATATGGCAGAGGAGGGAGCAGTAAAAAAATGAACAAAGGAGAGATGGCAAAGATGGCATAATGGCAAAGTCACTTCACCAGTAATGCAGAGGCTCAGCCTAATGCTCTGGGGACATAGATTTGTACCCCAGCATAAAAAATGGTGGAATTTAAATTAACTTAATAAATCTTGAATTAAAAAGCTAATCTCAGCAATAGTGAACATGAAATTATCATTGATAGTCATAAAAACTGATTTGTTTCACTAATGGCGTTTGGGGAATGAAATCTGCTTTCTTTACTGAGTCTGGCCAACACATGATTCCAGACCCACAGTGAAGTAGTTGACTCTCCATTCCCCTCTGAAATGGCCTAGCAAGCCACTCAATTCAAGGGAAATTGGGAATGAACAATAAATGCTGCCCTTCCCTTCATTGTTCACATTTCATGAAAGAATAAGGGTAAAAAAGGAACTACCTACATAAAGAAAAAAGCTTCAACAATGGGAATGAAAGGTCCTGATCTGTTGACAAATGTTAACAAATGCTGAAATACATCTAGATTTCCATATCTTTCCATATCTTCCCAAAATTTCAAACCTCATTCTATTGATGTGATAGCATTACAAATTTGCACATCTGCATGGCGATTGCTAAACTATAAACCAGCATATGATATCAAAGAATAAGAATCAATCTAGCTCATTCTAAAAACAATTATTGATTTTGTAAATTATGGATGAAAGCACCTAGTAACTACTGCAGGAATATATGATGTGAGCCATATTATACATTACAGTATTGAGTTCTTTAGCATGGTCCTTTCTAAATCATTTATTCCACTGCTGTCCACAGAAGCATGTTGTGAACAAATTGACTTATTCTGTTTCCTGCATTAAGAACGGAGCAATGCTTCAAAAGTATTTCATTATCAATAAAGCACTTTGGAATATCTTGAGGTCACAATAGAACCCCCACAATGTAGTCATGTAAAGTATTTTCTTCTTGGTGAAATTTAAGTCTTTGAACATTCACAGAAAATTCATAGACTCTTAATTCCAGATTTTTATTGAATTCAAATTCCACCATCTGCCATGGCAGGATTCGAAACTAGGTCCCCAGACATTAGCTGAGTTTCTGGGTTAATAGTCCAGTACTAATAGAATATCACAATGCAATCACCTCCCCAATGAAATACAGGGCAGTCTGAAACAGGAAAACTTCTCTTTCAAGCTACGGAAAAAGACAAAGAGAGACATATGCAATTTCCCCATCGGCAAGGGAGATAGATTGGTTCAAGCCAGTTTACCTGTAAACCATGTACACACTGATTACGCAATGAATACTCCAGAGTCAATATCCTCCACCAGAGTGACTACACTCTGTTGTGTTAATAACTCTTTCTTGGACTCTTTGTTGTCATGCAAATTATTTTCTTCTTGATGAAATTTAAGTCTTTGAACATTCACAGTAGTCTTCAGTTAGTGCAGTTATACCTGGACCCATTCCATAAAACCATAGAAATGATACGGTACAAAAGGCATTCCTTCAAAACTTATTACTTTCAATTGCTAGTGTGTTTGCAAGAACTCTAATATTTATAATATTTCACATGTTTTCATGTCTATTAAGAAGTTTAATATAAGAAACAACAAAATTTCCAAGGGTTCCCACTTTCTGGCAACACAAGAGATCATGGGGAAGTTTTACCTGTAAAGTTTTGGAATGGCATGGGCAGCTGTCTTCCTGACATAAGGAGACATGTCAGATGCAGCCTCTTTTATTGCCAGCATCATAATGGGGACAATAATTGTGACGCGGATGCTGGAGAGAACACGGAGGGCACTGGCTCGAATCAGCTGGTTTGGGTCCTGGAAGTAGGAGAAACAAGCCACAGTGTTAAGAATTACACTCACCACCAATCTAAAATTATCAGTCCAGCTCACAATGAGGGTCACGTACGCTTGCTGGAAGCTACACATACTCACATGCAAGAATCTGTTCTCTGCAGTCAAAAGGTACATCCATGGGTATTGTGCCATTTTTGAATTAAAGAAAAGCTTTGAGTACAATTGATCCTGGCACATTTTTCAGGACAATGCTACAATCATGCAGATTTGAACTGCTGACCAATCAGACCCATTTCTCATCCAATATAAACTATTGTTCCCTTTGAAATATGGCATTTATGAGAAATAAGAAAGGGATTGTACTGTGGACCACCCAATAGGCAATGGGAAGTGGAGAAACAAATTTGTAAGCAGATCTCAGTTATCTGTAAGAATAATAGGGTGGTTATGGTAGGGGATTTTAACTTTCCAAACGTAGACTGGGACTGGCAATGGTGTTAAGGACTTGGATGGAGAGGAATTTGTTAAGTGTGGACAAGAAAATTTTCTGATTCAATATGTGAATGTAGCTAGAGAAGGTGCAAAACTTGACCTACTGTTGGGAAATAAGGCAGGGCAGGTGACTGAGGTGTCAGTGGAGGAGCACTTTGGGGACAAACACCATAATTCTGTTAGTTTTAAAACAGTGATGGAAAAGGATAGACCGGATCTAGAAGTTAAAGCTCTTAATTAAAGGAAGGCCAATTTTGACATTATTAGGCAAGAATTTTCAAAAGTAAATTGGGAGCGGATGTTCAAAAGTAAAGGGATGGTTGGAAAATGGGGAGCCTTCAACAATGAGATAACCAGAGTCCAGAGATAGTATGTTCCTGTTAAGGTGAAGGACAAGGCTGGTAGGTATAGGAAATGCTGGATGACTGAAGAAATTGAGGTTCTGGTCAAGAATAAGAAGGAAGTATATGTCAGGTATAGGCAGTAAGAGTATACTTAAGAGGGAAATCAGGAGGGAGAAAAGGGACCAAGAGATAGCTTTGGCAAGTTGGGTTAAGGAGAATCCAAAGGGATTCTACATATACATTAAGGACAAAAGGGTAATTAGGAAGAGAAGAGGGCCCCTTAAAGATCAGCAAGGCCGCCTATGCATGGAACCGCAGGAGATAGGGGAGATACTAAATGAGTATTTTGCATCAGCGCTTACTGTGGACAGTATGGAAGATATAGAACATGGGGAAATAAATAGTGACATCTTGAAAAATGTCCAAAGGTGGCTAAATCCCCATGACCTGATCAAATGTACCCTACGACTCTGTGGGAAGCTAGGGAAGTGATTGCTGGGGCCCTTGCTGGGATATTTGTATCATCGATAGCCACAGGTGAGGTGCCGGAAGACTGGAGGTTGTCTGATGTGTTGCCACTTTTTAAGAAAGGTGGTAAGGAAAAGCCGGGGAACTCTCAACCAATGAGCCTGACATCAGTGATGGGTAAGTTGTAGTAGAGGGAATCCTGAGGGACAGGATTTACATTATTTGGAAACGCAAGTATTGATTAGGGACAGTCAACATGGCTTTGTGCATGGGAAATCGTGTCTCACTAACTTGATTGAGTTTTTTGAAGAAGTAACGAAATGGATTGATGAGGGCAGAGTGGTGGATGTGATCTACATGGACTTCACTAAGACATTCGACAAGGTTCCTCATAGTAGACTGGTTAGCAAGAATAGATCACATGGAATACAGGGAGAATTAGCCATTTGGATGCAGAATTGGCTCAAAGGTAGAAGACAGAGGGTGGTTGTGGAAGGTTCTTTAACTGGAGACCTGTGACCAGCAGTGTGCCACAACAGTCAGTGCTGGGTCCAATGCTTTTCGTCGTTTATATGAATGATTTGGATGTGAACATAGCAGGTATGATTAATAAGTTTGTAGATGACAACAAACTTGGAGGTGTAATGGACAGTGAAGAAAGTTACCTCAGAGTACAACAGGATCTTCATCAGATTGGCCAATGGGCTGAGGAGTGGCAGATGGAGTTTAATTTAGATAAATATGAGGTATTGCATTTTGGAAAGGCAAATCAGGGCAGGACTTAATGGTGAGGCCCTGGGGAGTGTTGCTAAACAAAGAGACATTGGAGTGCAAGTTCATAGTTCCTTGTAAGTGGATTTGCAGTCAGATAAGTGAAAAAAGCATTTGATATGCTTGCCTTTATTGGTCAGTGCGTTGAGTAAAGGAGTTGGGAGGTCATGTTGCAGCTGTAGTGGATATTGGTTAAGCCACTTTTGGAATACTGCGTGCAATTCTGGTCTCTCTGCTAAAGGAAGGATGTTGTGAAAGTTGAAAGCGTTCAGAAAAGATTTACAAGGATGTTGCCAGGATTGGAGGGTTTGAGCTATAGGGAGAGGCTGAATAGGCTGGGGCTATTTTCCCTGGAGCATTCGGCACTGAGGGGTGACCTGATAAAGGTTTATTGAATCATGATCAGCATGGATAGGGTGAATAGCCAACATCTTTTCCCTAGGGTTGGGGAGTCCAAAACTAGAGGGCATATTGTGTCTGACAATAAGACATGGACAGATCAGCACTGACTCCAAGTCAACAATGGAATCATCGTTTTCAAATCAGCACCACAGATTTAATTGAAACTGAAAGAACTGTGGATGCTATGTAAGTCAGAAACAAAAACAGAAATTAGTTCTGAGGAAGGGTCATCGGACCCAAAATGTTAACTCTGATTTCTCTTCACAGATGCTGCCAGACCTGCTGAGCTTTTCCAACAATTTCTGTTTTTGTCACAGTCTTAATTGACTCAGTTGAATTGGTAGCTGGGAGAAGAGAATTCCAGATTTCTACCACCTTCTAAATGAAGAGGTGCTTTGTATATCATAGAATCCCTACAGCATGGAAGCAGGCCATTCAGCCCATTGAGTCCACATCAACCCTCAAAAGGACATCGCATCCAGACCCAACCCCTTACCGTATCTCTGTAACCCCGCATTTCCCATGGCTAATGCACCTAGCATCATCCGTGGACAGGTGAACTACAATTTTAAGGTTGTGCTCCTGGCTGTGGACTTCCCATTCCCCACCTTCCAGAGGAAACAGTTTCTGTCTGTCAACGCTCTCTTCAAGTGCCACTGAAAGACCTGATCCTCAAAAAAGGTGTGTTCATAATATGGCCAGACAGGTTGATTGTTAACAATAAAAGCAGAAAGTGTCAGAGAAACTCAGCAAGTCTGGTAGTCTTTGTAGAAAACTGAACAAAGTTAACATTTTGAATCCAATATGATTCTTCTTCAGAGTGGGTTGGCAATCAACCTGAAATTCCTTCTAACACATACCAATGGTAGGTCATAAGAGAACGAGAGATTTCTAATAGCTATGTGAAAGTTGAAGCCTCTATCATGACTATCCATTGCTCTGGATACAATAGACATGTACTGCTACTCTTTGCCAAATCAACTCAGTCCCTGAGTGAACTGCAATCACAATGACCACTATCTACCCTACTAATTCGCTTCAAACAATTTGAACATTCCAAATACATCACCCCTTATCTTTAATATCCAAGGGAGCACAAGCCTAATCCAGGCAACCTGACTCATAATTGATTTCTCAATATTGGTGAATCTGTGCTACAGTCCCTCCAAAACTCATAAATCATTCTGGAGATGAGGTATCCAGTAATCACTTCTGAAATAGAAACAGAAAGTACTGAAGATGCTCAGCAGGTCTGGTAGCACTCATGGAGGAAAAAGCAGGATTAATGCTTGGGTCTGAAGTGCCTCTTCTTTGGAACTGAATAGGACTGAAAACGTGATGACTTTTATGTTTTGCGAAAGAGGTAGGTGGAACGAGTAGAACAGATGGTAAAGATGTCTGAGTGCAAGAGGTAAAGGGAGTGCTAATTGTAACAGAGAAGACATATGGATGAAGAGTATTTGCTATTAACAGGAAATAGGCACTGAGAACAAAACTATATAATCAAGGCAATAGAGATGAGGGGGGAGGGTGGTAATCAAAACGGAAGACAAAATTTGTGTTTTAAAGTTGTTGAACTCAATGTTGAGTACTGAAAGCTGTTAAGTGCCAAAGTGGAAAAGTAATTACTCCTGACGTAGTCAGAGCTTTAAATAACTTCTCCTTCTGTTCTGCATTTCTTCCATTTTAAAGACTGATTCTGCCATTTTAGTTTTTTTTTATTTTGATGCATGGGATATGAGCATCACCAGCATTTATTGCCCATCCCTAATTGCCAAGAGGGCCAGACTAGGTAAGGATTTCCCTCTCTAAAGGACATTAGTAACCAGATAAGTTTTTCCGACAATTGACCATTCATGATCGTTATTAGACTCTTTATTCCAGATTTTTGTTGAATACAAATTCCATCATCTGTCATGGCAAGATTCAAACCAGGTCCCCAGACATTAGCTGAGTCTCTGGATTAATAGTCTAGCAATAATATCACAAGGCCATCACCTCCCCAATGAAATACAGGGCAGTCTGAAACAGGAAAACTTCTCTTTCAAGCTACAGAAAAAGACAAAGAGAGACATATGCAATTTCCCCATCGGCAAGGGAGATAATTGGTTCAAGCCACGTTACCTGTAAACCATGCAATACATTGGGTTGTCAATGATTACTCCAGATTCAATATCTTCCTCCAGAGTGACTGCACTCTGTTGTGCTAATAACTCTTACTTGGACCATTATTGCATTGAGTAAATAAATATAAATAACTTCAAACAGCTACAACAGGGAAGGAGATAGTTTCTCGGCAACATCCAATAACAAGCAACTGGAAGATTGGCAATAATGACCTTTAATCCTCTCTGGAAGGTGCTGATGGAAAGTAAAGCCAGATCCTGCTGCTCCTCTGCATATCGAACTAAATAAACATAAACCAACTTCTTCACCTGCAATGACAGAGAGATGGGTGTGGGGGTTGGAGATGAAAAGAATAGACTGTGAAATCGCAAAAAGATTTCAATTCACAACCAAAAGATACAAAGTTCAACAGGTTTTAAATTTATCCCCCACAGTTCAATTTTACTCCAGCACCTGGTTGGCAGTTAGCCCTCAGAACTAATATTGAAAACAAAATATAGATTTCATGAATTAACAAAAATCATCCAAATCAAGGGTCCTTGTTCCAGCTTTCTCCCTATATCCTTTGACTCCTTTAGATCTAAGAACTATATCTAACTCCTTCTCAAAAACTTTCAATGTTTTGGCCTAAACCACTTTTAGTGACAGAATCCTACAGGCTCACCACTCTCCAGGTAAAGACATTTCTGCTCATCTCAGTCCTAAATGCCCTCCCCCATTCTGAACTCGGTGGTCATTGGGAGCATCCTTTCTGCATCTACACTGTCTAGTCCTCTTAGAATTTTCTAGGTGTCTGTGAAAATGCCCTCATTCTTCCAAACTCTAGTTGTTCTAAACTATCCATTCTCCCTTCTTACATCAGTCCTGCCAACCCAGGAATCAGTCCGGTAAACCTTTGTTGCACTCCCTCCACAGCCAGAACATCCTTATTCAGGTAAGGAAACCAAAACTAGACAAATATTCCAGATGCTGTCTCACCAGGATCCTGTACAAACTCTGAAGGCCAACATACAATTTGCATTCTCCTGCACTCTTACTTTCAGCAACTGATGAACAAGGACATCCATTCTGTCACCACACTCTTTCTCAATACACCACATTCAGGTAATAATGCCCTTCCTGCTTTTGCTACCAAAGTGGAAAACCTTACATTTATTCCCATGATACTTCAGTCAGCATGTATTAGCCCACTCACTTAACTTGTACATACCACACTGAAGCAGCTCTGTATCCTTCTCACAGCTCACCCTTCAACTCAACTTTGTGTCATCTGCAAACTTGGAGATCTTCCATTTGGTTCACACATCTAACTCATTCATATATATTCTGAATAGCTGGGGCAAACTGATCTCATTCGGGAGGCTGAGGGGGTGATGGAGAGAAGTTATAAGGAGATGGTCACACTGAAGGTACAGGACAAAGGTAGCTGGGTGACTGTCAGGAGGGGGAAAGGTAATAGGCTGTTCCCCTCAATAATAAGTACACCACTTTGGATACTGTTGGGGAGGATGACCTACCAGGGGAAAGCCATAGCGGCCAGATCTCTGGCACTGAGCCTGGCTCTGTGGCTCAGAAGGGAAGTGGGGTGGAGAATAGGAGAGTGATAGCGATAGGAGATTCACTGGTTAAGGGAACAGACAGGAGATTCTGTGGTACCGAGCGAGACTCCCGGATAGTACGTTGCCTCCCGGGTGCCAGGGTCAGGGATGTCTCAATCGAGTCTTCAGGATTCTTAAGGGGGAGGGAGAGTAGCCAGAAGTCATGGAACACATTGGTACCAATGCCATAGCTAGGAAACAGGATGAGGACCTGAAAAGTGATTACAGGGAGTTAGGATGGAAGCTGAAAGCCCGGACGAGTAGAGTAGTAATCTCAGGATTACTACCGGTGTCACAGGCTAGTGAGGCTAGAAACAGAGACAGAGCGCAGTTGAACACGTGGCTACAGAGCTGGTGTAGGAGGGAGTGCTTCAGGTCTGTGGATCATTGTGATACCTGCTGGGGAAGGTGGGACCTGTACAGGAAGGACGGGTTGTACCTGAACTGGAGGGGCACCAATATCCTGGGCGGGAGGTTTGTTAGAGCTCTTCAGGAGGGTTTAAACTAGTTTGGCAGGGGGATGGGAACTGGAGCTACAGATCAGAGGATGGGGTAGCCGGTGTACAAACAGATAGAGCAAGCAGAGAATCTATGAGGAAGGATAAGCAGTTGATAGGGCAAAGTGGCAGTCAGTGCGATGGGTTGAAGTGTGTCTACTTCAATGCAAGAAGTGTCAGGAATAAGGATGACGAACTTAGAGCACGGATCAGCACTTAGAACTACGATGTTGTGGCCATTATGGAGACATCGATAACACAGGGGCAGGAATGGTTGTTGGATGTTCCGGGGTATAGATGTTTCAAAAGAAATAGGGAGGGAGGTAAAAGAGGGGGGGAGTGTGGCATTGCTAATCAGGGATGGTATCACAGCTGCAGAAGGGAGGTTGTGGAGGAGGGTTTCTCCACTGAGTCAGTATGGGTGGAAGTCAGAAACAGGAAAGGAGCAGTCATTTTATTGGGAGTTTTCTGTAGACCCCGCAACAGCAACAGAGACACTGAGGAACAGATTGGGAGACAGATTTTGGAAAGGTGCAGAAGTAATAGGGTTGTTGTCATGGGCAACTTCAACTTCCCTCATATAGACTGGAACCTCCTAAGTGCAAATAGTTTGAATGGAGCAGATTTTGCCAGGTGTGTCCAGGAAGGATTTCTGAGTCAATATGTAAATAGGCCAAGTAGAAGGGAGGGCACATTGGATTTGGTGCTTGGCAACGAACCAGGTCAGGTGTCAGATCTCTCGGTGGGAGAGCATTTCGGTGATAGTGATCACAACTCCCTGACCTTTACTATAGTCATAGAGAGGGACAGGAGCAGACGGTATGGGAAAGTATTTAATTGGGGGAGGGGGAATTACAATGCTATTAGGCAAGAACTACGGAGCACCAATTGGGATCAGATGTTCTCAAGGAAATGCACGATAGAAATGTGGAGGTTGTTTAGGGAGCAGTTGCTACAGGTACTGGATAGGTTTGTCCCACTGAGGCAAGGAAAGGATGGTAAGGTGAAGGAACCTTGGATGACAAGACATATGGAACACCTAGTCAAGAGGAAGAAGGAAGCTTACTTAAGGTTGAGGAAGCAAGGATCGGACAGGGCTCTAGAGGTCTACAAGGTAGCCAGGAAAGAACTGAAGAATGGACTTAGGAGAGCTAGAAGGGGGTATGAGAAAAGTGGGTAGGATCAAGGAAAACCCCAAGGCTTTCTATACTTATGTGAGGAACAAGAGGATGGCCAGAGTGAGGGTAGGGCCAATCAGGGATAGTGGAGTCAGAGGAGGTAGGGGAGGTCCTTAATGAAAACTTTGCTTCAGTATTCACCAGTGAGAGGGACCTTGACATTGTGAGGACAGCATGAAAGAGGGAGATATGCTCGAACAGGTTGATGTTAGGAAGGAGGATGTGCAAGAAATTTTGAAAAACATGAGGATAGATAAGTCCCCTGGGTCAGATGGTATATACCCAAGGTTAATACGGGACGCGAGGGAAGAGATTGCTGCCCCTTTGGCAATGATCTTTGCGTCCTCACTGTCACTGAAGTAGTACCAGAAAATTGGACGGTGGCAAATGTCATTCCCTTGTACAAGAAAGGGAATAGGGATAATCCTGGAAATTACAGTCTTACTGCTGTGGTGGGCAAATTATTGGAGAGGATTCTGAGAGATAGTATTTATGATTATTTGGAAAAGCACAGTTTGATTAGAAATAGTCAGCATGGCTTTGTGAGGGGCAGGTCATGCCTCACAAGCCTTATTGAATTCTTTGATGAAGGTACAGCAATGGATGTGGTGTATATGGATTTTAGCAAGGCATTCAATTAGGTTCCACATGGTAGGCTCATTCAGAAAGTAAGGAGGCATGGGATTCAGGGAAATTTGGCTGTCTGGATACAAAACTGGCTGTCCAATAGAAGATAGAGGGTGGTAGTAGATGGAAAGTATTCAGCCTGGAGCTTGGTGACCAGTGGTGTTCCGCAGGGATCTGTTCTGGGACCTCTGTTCTTTGTGATCTTTATAATTGACTTGGATGAGGAAGTGGAAGGGTGGGTTAGTAAGTTTGCTGATGACACGAAGATCGGTAGAGTTGTGGACAGCGTGGAGGGCTGTTGTAGGTTGCAAAGGGACATTGATAGGATGCAGAGCTGGGCAAAGAAGTGGCAGATGGAATTCAACCCAGAAAAGTGTGAAGTGATTCATGTTGGAAGGTCGAATTTGAATGCAGAATACAAGGTTAATGGCAGGATTCTTGGCGGTGTGGAGGAACAGAGGGATCTTGGGGTCCACGTCCATAGATCCCTCAAAGTTGCTACCCAAATTGATAGGGTTGTAAAGAAGGCGTATGGTGTGTTGGTTTTCATTAGCAGGGGAATTAAGTTTAAGAGCTGCGAGGTTACGCTGCAGATCTATAAAACTCTGGTTAGACCACACTTGGAATATTGTATTCAGTTCTGGTCACCTCATTACAGGAAAGATGTGGAAGCTTTAGAGAGGGTGCAGAGGAGATTTACCAGGATGCTGACTGGACTGGGGGGCAGGTCTTATGAGGAAAGGTTGAGGGAGCTAGGGCTTTTTTCATTGGAGCGAAGAAGGATGAGAGGTGATTTTATAGCGGTTTTTAAGATGATGTGGCATAGATAGAATGGATAGTCAGAGATTTTTTCCCAGGACGGAAATGACTATTACGAGGGGACATAATTTTAAGGTGATTGGAGGAAGGTATAGGGGAGATGTCAGAGGTAGGTTCTTCACACAGAGAGTGGTGGGTGTGTGGAATGCACTGCCGGCAGTGGTAACGGAGTCCGATACTTTAGAGACTTTTAAGCGACTCTTGGATAGGCACATGGAGAATAGTAAAATGTAGGGTGTGCAGGGTAGATTGATCTAAGTAGGATATTAGGTTGGCACAACATCGTGGGCCGAATGGCCTGTACTATGCTGTACTGTTCTATGTTCTATATCCCATTAGTCACTGCCTGCCACTCAGAAAAAGGCTCATTTATTCCTACACTTTGTTTCATGTCAGCTAACCAATTCTCTATCCATATCAGTACACTAATCCTAATCTAATGCACTTTAATTATATATTCTAGTCTCTTATATGGAATCTTGTCAAAAGCTTGAAGTCCAAGTAAACTACATCCACCTGTTACCCCTTATGAACTAATCACAGCCTCAAAAAATTCCAATAGGTTTGTCAAGCATGTTTTCCCTTTTGTAAACCCACTCTGACTGTTTAATCCTGTCACTGTCTTCCAAGAGCTCTCCTATTAAATATTTTCAACTTCCTCTTCCTGACTTGGACATATATTGCTGTGCCTTCACTTTGCTGGAATTCACTCCCTAACACATTTTGGGTCTCATGACATCAAATGGACTGCAGCAGTTCAAATAGGCAGGTTACCACTACCTTCACAAGGATATTAGGAATGTGCAATAAATGCTGACCCAGCCAGCAAAGTCCACATTCCCTGAATTAGTAAAAAGGCATACTCTTCTCTAATACCCCTTCAAAGAAGGAAATCTGCTGTACTTACTTGGTCTGATCAACATTTCACTCCAGTCCACAGAGCTGTGGCTAACTTTTAAATATGCTCTGAATAGCATAGCAAGAACATAGGAAATAGGAGTAGTTGTAGACCATTTGGCTCCTTGAGGCTGTTCTGCCATTCAACCAGATCATAGCTGAACTGCTACCTTAATGCAATTTCCCACCAACACTCTTCATATCTTTAGCATCTACAAGCCTACTGACCTCTATCTTGAATTACTGAATGACTGAGACTCCTCATCTTCCTAGAAAAGAGAATTCCAAGGATTCACAACCATCTGAATCGATAAATTCCTCATTTCAGTCTTTGTCCTGCCCTTTGTTCTGAGACTACGCCCCCTGGTTCTGGACCCACTTCCGGCCAGGGAAACATTTTTCCTGCCCCATCTACCCTGAATTTTCCCTAGTAGTAGAGGGGAAAATGCTAGAATCTATGAAAGAAAATGCCGGAACTGGTAACTTAGAAAATAATGATAAGGTTGGACAATGTCACCATGAATTTATAAGTAGGAAATCATGTTTGACAAGCCTGTTAGAGGTTTTTGAAGATGTAACTGTAGCGGTTGTAACAAGGTCAGCCAGCCGGACCTCATAGAATATGTGTTCCCTGATTGGTTTCCAGTGTAATTTTTAGCACAGTCCAAAGTATTGACTAAATGATGTCCAATAGTAAGGTCACATCTAATGATGGTCACACTGTTCTGAGCCTTGCAATCAAGGGGTGGCTGAGTATGATTGTCATGCTGCCTACTGCAAACGGTCAATGAGATGGATTAGAGCTTTGGCCCAAGCTATTCACAATCTACATCAATGATTTGATATAGCGATTAAATATAATATTTGCAATGTTTGCTGCTACACAAAGCAAGGATAGGAAGGTGAGTCGTGAGAAGAATGCAAAAATGCTTCACCAAGAGGCTGGTGGTGTGGGAAAACATTTAGCATATGTAATACAATGTGGAAAAATATGAAGTTATGCACTTCGGTAAGAGAAACAAAAATTCTGAGTATTTCTGAAATGGTGAGAGATTGGGAAATGCTTTAGTCTAAAGAGACCAATGTCTTTGTCAAGAGTCACTGACAGTTCACATGCATGTACAGCAAGCAAGTAGGAAAACAAATGATCCATTGACTTTTCTTGCAACACATTTTGAATACTCGAGTAAAAAAGTCTTTTTGCAACTTTTTAAAAAAGTTTTGGTGAGGCTGCACCTGGAAAAGAAAGACCTAAATACTTCAAACAAATGGAGTGAACTCAGTAATTTTGTTTTTGTTCATGGGATGTGTGCATTGCTGTTGACTATCTCTAATTGTCCTGGAGAAGGTGGTGAGGAGCTTTCTTGATCCACAGTAGTCCATGCAGTGTAGACAGATATACAGTGCTGTTAGGGAGGGAGTTCTGGGATTTTGTCCCAGCAACAGTGAAGGACTGATGATATACAAAGGAAGAAATAAAAAGATGGGTGCTACTCAGTTTAAGGGGAATTAGGGATGGGCAACAAATACTGGTCTTGCCAGTGCCACCCACATTCTGCTACTGTAACCCCTTGGATCACAGTGGTATCAAGCAGCACTTGCTCAGCAATAACCTGCTCAGTGATGCCCAGTTTGGGTTCTACAAGGGCAACTCAGCTCCTGACTTCATTACAGCTTTGGTCCAAATGTGGGCAAAAGAGCTGAATTCCAGAGGTGAGGTGAGAGTGACAGTCCTTGACATCAAGGCTGCATTCGACTGAGTGTTGCATCATGGAGCCCTCACAAAACTGGAATCAATGGGTATCAGGGGGCAAACTCTCCGGTGGTTGGAGTCATATCTGACACATAGGAAGATGGTCATGATTGTTGGAGGTCAGTCATCTCAGCTCCAGGACACTTCTGCAGGAGTTCCTCAGGGTAGCATCCTAAGTCCAACATTTTCAGCTGCTTCATCAATGACCTTCCCTCCATCATAAAGTCAGAAGTGGAGATGTTCACTGATCATTACACAATGTTCAACACCATTCACAACTCCTCAGATACAGAAGGAGTCCATGTTCAAATGCAACAAGATCTGGACGATATCCTGGCTTGGCCTGACAAGTGGTGAGTAACATTCGCACCACTCAGGCTATGATCATCACCAAAAGGGGACAATCTTATTAGTGATGGCACGGTGGCTCAGTGGTTAGCACTGCTGCTTCACAGCACCAGTGACCTGAGTTTGATTCCACTCTCAGGCAACTGTCTGTGTGGAGTTTGCATATTCTCCCCGTGTTTACGTGGGTTTCCTCCCGGTGCTCTGGTTTCCCCCTATAGTCCAAAGATATGCAGGCTAGGTGGATTGGCCATGCTAAATTGCCCATTGTGTTCAGGGATGTGTAGATTAGGTGGGTTACAGGGCGGACGGATCTGGGTGGGATGCTCTGAGAGTCGGTGTGGGCTTGTTGGGCTGAAGGGTCTGTTTCCACACTGTAGGGATTCTATGATCCTATGACCTAACCACCGGTCCTTGGCATTTAATGTGTTACCATCACTGAACCCCCACAATCAACATCCTGACTAGAAGGTCAAATGGACTCACCACATAAACACAGTGGCTACAAGAGCAGGTCAGAAACTAGGAATGCTGCAGCAAGTAACTCACCTCCTGACTCCTCAAAGCTTGTCCACCATCTACAAGGCACAAGTCAGGAGTGTGACGGAATACTCCCCACTTGCCTGGATGAGTGCAGCCCCAACAACACTCAAGAAGCTTGACAGCATCCAGGACAAAGCAGCCTGCTTGATTGGCACTACATTCACAAGCATCCACTCCCTCCATCATCAATGCTCAGCAGCAGCAATGTGTACTGTCTACAAGTTGCACTCTAGAAATTCACCAAAGATCCTCAGACAGCACCTTCAAACCCATGACCACATCTATCTAGAAGGACAAGGGCAGCAGATATATGGAACGCCACAACCTTCAGGTTCCCCTCCAAGCCACTCACCATCCTGACTTGGAAATATATCACCGTTCCTTCACTGTTGCTGGGTCAAAATCCCGGAATTCCCTCCATTTTAGGTCAACCCACAGCAGGAGGACTGCATCGGTTCAAGAAGGCAGCTCACCACCACCTTCTCAAGGGCAGGTAGGGACAGACAATAAATGTTGGCCAGCCAGTGATGCCCGCATCCCACAAATGAATAAATAAAAGCTGTGGTGATTTTAGGAAGTTCATTCTATAAATCACTGCACATTCATAAGGGGATGAGAAATTTCACTTACCTCAATGTTTTTGCAGGCAACATTCTTCACCACCGCAGGGAAGAGTTCTGAAGCATTTTTTCCTCTAGCAATCATCTGCATATGAAAAAAAACACATACAAACTCTCAGTCACTCTTGAGACGGCATTATTAATTGCATTATACCAAGCTGTTCAAACTGCTAAGGGTCAAAAACACTGTCCCCATCTCTGGCAACTTAATGACCACTCTTCAAGAAATAAATCTCATTGGCTGTGAAGAGCTTTGGGACATTCTAAAAAGCAAGACTTCCTTTTGTGTTTTTATTTCTTATTTCTGCTGAATTGTCTAGTCTAAATCAAAAAGCGGAGTTTGGATTGGTCTGACCTTAATTGCTGTATGAATCAACAACTGGAACACATCAAGATCTGTTGGCAGCAGCAACTCAAAATAAACATTACCTTAAAACTCCTCACCACATGAGATTCCCTGATGCCCACCTGTGGGCCAGTGGAACAAAGGTTTAATTCCAAAGTTACATGAGAGTCGACATGTAACTTGATGGTTGGTAACCAACACAGCTCTGTGGGTAAACAGAGCTCTATTAAGCCTGCAGGATGTTTCAGAGATCCATAAAAGCTGTACAGTAGGATAGGTAATGAGTAGGGCTTAACGGACAGTTTATTGACCGTATGCTTGGACTTGTACTGCATTTCCCTTTCAGGCCACATTTCAGGCTTTAGCCCCACCTGAGGATTAAGTTCTTCACGCAGGATAAATAAAGGGAAACCAATAGATGTATTGGATTTCCAACGAAGGTTTTGGTGAGGTGCCACAAGATAAGAACTTATAGCATTGGGGATGATATATTAGCTTGAATAGAGAACTGGCTAACACACAGGGACTTGGAGAGAATGGACAGTGTGGTACATGGAAGAGTCAAAGGCGCAATCACTTCAAGGCTCTTCTCATGGACTCTTAAGCATCCAATACTAGTGTGGCAAGGATATGTGTAGGTTACATGGGATCGGCAGCAAGATGCCTGTAAAGCTGGCCTCAGAACCCAAAATGGTTACCAGACTCAAAACGTTAACTCTGATTTCTCTTCACAGATGCTGCCAGACCTGCTGAGCTTTTCCAGAAACTTCTGTTTTTGTTTCTGATTTACAGCATTTGCAGTTACTTTGGTTTTTACTAATCTAATGAACCCTTGCTGTACTGCATCCAATGCATTTACATCATCCCTTTGACATGGAGACCAAAACTGCGCATAGTACTCCAAATGTGCTATCACTAAAGCCTTGTAAAATTGTAACAAGACTGGTTTAATCTTCTATTCCAATCTCTCTGCAAATACTCATCACTGTCCCAAGGTCATGCATGCCAAGATTATATACAAATATAACCTTTAGATGGAGATGAGAAGACACAGGTCCTGAACCAACCTGTACAGATGTAATTCATCATACATTTTAATGCCATACATTATCATATTTTTAACATATTCCCATTGTATATTGTTATGCCCATGTTTTAATTTAAAAATCTGTAACTTATATAATTACATCCTCCTGTGTGCTGTCCACACCTTTGTTTCTATATCACCATCAGTTGAATTTGCAATTCCAAATCCCGTCCTTCCCCAGTGCCACCTTGATCTCCATCCGTACTTCCATTGATCCATTATTGAAATTCCCATTCATGCCTTTCTTGCCCTGAGACTAACTATGCTAATATATTCCAGGTTGGCCTCCTACTTGGTATCTCCATGATCAACAACTCATTCAAAACTCTACGGCCAGTATTCTCACTTGCAGGAAGTCTTTTCTGCCTTGTGCTTGCTGACCTATACTGGTCCAAAAATGCATTTCATCCTTGTTTCCGGAGTTCTTAAAGGCACTTCCCTATCTCTAACCTCCTCTAAGCCTTACAATCTTTCGTGATTAGCTAGGGGCAGAAAAAAAGAGAGGAGTGGGAATAAGAGATGAAGAGGGTGAGGGTAGGAGATGTAGAGAAAGAGGGAGAGGGCAAGAAAAGTATATATATATACAGAGAAGGGAAGAACGTCAAAGAAGTTAGAGAGAATAGAGAGAGGTTCAGAGATAGAGAAAGAGTTGGCGACAGAGATAGGGAAATGATGGTTAAAATCACATTCTAATTCATCATATTCTACAAATTATTTGTCCTAAGCATATGCAATCATTCGTTATATTTAGATTATTTTTAATTCATTGCCTATCCCTAGTTGTCTTTGACAAGGCGTATTGAATTTCCTTCTTGAATTGCTGTAGTCTATGTGCTATAGGTAGACCCAAAATGTTGTGTGGGAGAGACTTCCAGGAATTTGTCCCAGCAATACCAAAGGATTGGTGTTGCAATTCCAAGCCTGGATGGTGAGTGACTTGGAGGGGAACAGGAGATGGTGGTATTCTTATGTATCTGCTGCCCTCATCCTTCCAAGTGATAGCGATTGTGGGTTGGGAAGGTGCTGTCTAAGGAGCCTTGGTGAATTTCTACTGTGCATCATGTAGACAGTGTACACTGCTACTGTGCATCTGCCAGAGGGATTAAATATTTGTGGACAGGTGCCAATGAAGTGGACTGCTTTGTCCTGGATGGTATCAAGCTTCCTGAGCGTTGTTGGAGCTGCACACATCCAGGCAAGTGGGGAGTATTCCATCACACACCCAACTTGCACTTTGAGATGTGCCTTTGGGGAGTCAGGAGATGAGTTACTCACAATTAAATGATGTGCACAGTGGCATAATCTTAAATGCCCTATTTTGTGCCCAAAACAAGGCCTCAGATCAACTGACTGCAGACAGGGAAAGAAAGGACCATCCTGTTTTGCAACATAGTAGCGGCTAATTAAAAAATAAATACAACCCAGAATAATTTGGTATAAATAATGCAGTATGTGCAGGCATGGAAATTGTTATCTACACCACTGATAAATATTTAACACGTCACTGTGAGTTCTCTGTCTCGGCAGCTGTTCCTGGAACTAGCAACAGCCAGATCCCCATCCATGCATTGCAGAGCTGTTTCTATCCCTTAGGAATCTTACAGGATCTAGGACACAGTGTTACTTAAGGAAACCAAGAGTCAAATGAGGTATCTCAGTGTTACCCCATTGTGTTAATTATGCCATGATATGAAAATGGTGGTGTAGTGTTCATGACACAGGACCAGTAACACAGCGGCCCAAGCTGCTGGTCTGGGAATTGTTGTATAAAAGCCATTAGAGAAGGGAATCCACCGTCCTTACCCAGTGTGGCCTACATGTGAATCCAGACTCATCGTCATGTGGTTGACAACTGGGGATGGGAACAAATGTTGACCTCGTCAGCAATGCCCACATCCCACGAAAGAATAAAGAACTGCTAAAGGAAAGATCAATGGGGGAGCAAAATGGTGCAATTCTTTCCTCTCAGTTGCCAACCAGTGTATAAGAGTCAAGGTTTAACCAACCGATCAGAGAATGACAAAGGCATCAAGATAGTTACTATCAATTAATCTATATCAAAAGCAACGCATTTACAGAAATTCCTATTAACATTTTTCATCAGAAATTTCTACTTATAATGAGTTTCCCATGTAAACTCGTCACACTGAAATGACATTTTAGGGAAACTAGAGGAAAATATTACATTCCAGTCCACCTCCTAAGAGGAGGGGGAATATAAGTAGTAATAGGTGTAAATTGAGTACCTGCACATTCAAAGGCGTAAGGACTCCCTCAATGGGCCGAAGGGCCTGTTTCCATGCGACATTACTCTATTACAATGTCGGAGAAAATCCAAGTAAAATGCAAATAGTGTTTGTGGTCTCCAATTCCATGCCAACGTTTTTTATAAACGAGTATTATGTGCTGGACTATAATCCCATCTTTGAATCTATCAAAAATTACTGTAAGACATTTTTCATTCTTTCAGGGAAAGTAGGTCAGCATTTGTAATCCATCCCTAATTGTCCTTAAACCAAGTGGCTTGCTCAGCCATTTCAGAGGGCAGTTAAGAATAATCCACATTGCTGTGGATCTGGAGTCACATGTAGGCCAGACTCAGTAAGGACCTTTTTTTTATTTAGATGAGAAAGTAGACAGAGCATCTGTTTAATATGTTATCTGAAAGATAGTACCTCTAACAGTGCACTTCTTCAGCATTGCACTGAAATTGTCAGTCTGGAGTGTATGTTGAAATCTCTGAAGCTGGATTTAAATTTGAAGCTTTATGGTTGAGGTAAGAGTATGATAAACTGAGCTCCAGTCAACTCTATTTTCACAGGATAATCCACCTTTGTGAGTAAGCTTTCAGCCATCCCATCTAACTGTGTCTATGAGTGGAATCTCCCACATTTTATTCTAAGTGTGGTGGTGTGTGTAAAGATGGATAGCATACCACCCTCCTCAGCACCACAAACAAGAAAGACCACCGTATCTTCTGCCTATCAAATACTTAACGGGTTTTCAGCTGGTATCACTTCCTAGGATATGAATGTCGCATCCCACCTAAATATCCTGGGAATCAACTGGCAGCAACTACTGCAAGCCACAACACTGGATAAGGAGACATGGCTGTTGTCAGAACAGCAACCAAGATGCCCAAGGGCAGCAGCATGTGTGGAAGTATCTTTTTGAGTTAGGGCTCATAGGAAGAGCTCGATCAGGGAAGCGGTAAGAAGAAAGGCAGTGGGATGGTCATCAGAGGCCATAGCGCAGTCCATATCTGTGCCTCTGATCATCCCTAAATTGAGGAGATCAAGGCCAAACCACTCGCAACCAGTTTGCTCCATTTTAACAGCTGGGAAGACTCTTGTCTTAATAATATCATGACTTTGGTGTGAGGAGGTCAATTGACAACCACTTCGGCTTTCAATTGGTGACAGGAGAAATTAATTCCTGTGTTGATGGGTATCTCCCCAGGTGGGTCTCTGGACTCCAAGTTCATTGACATGACCCCAAGGTACTGTCTTCCTCTCTCTAGTTATCTTGATTCTTCCAGCTGGATGAAATCGAGCACCTGGATTCAATGTTCAATTCAAAAGGATGAAGTTAGAAAAACCTGCAGGAAACAATTCCATACATCGGCATTTCTCTGAGGGCCTGAGCACAGCAAACCACATCCACAAGATGAAGGAGCAGAAATAGGTCATTTAGCCCTGCCATTCAATCAGACATTGGTTGATCTAATAATTTTCAACTCACTTTCCTGCCTTTTCCCCATACTTGATTCCTTATTGATTAAAGATCTGACTATCTCAGCTTTGAATAAAGACCCGGCTTCAACAGTCTTCTGCAGTAAAGAATTCCACACATTTACTACCCTCTGAGAGAAAAAGATCCTCCTCAACTCTATCTTAAATGGGCAACCCCTTACTCGGACATTATGCTCTTTGGTCCTAGAATTTCCCACAAGGAGAAATAATATCTCCATATCTACCCTTTAACCGGTCTTAGACTATGTTTCAGTAAGCTCTCTGCTCAATCTTCTAAACTCCAATGAGTACAAGCCAACCAACTTGACTGCCTCCTGTGCCAGTATACCCTTCCTTAGGTAAAGGGCCAAAATAGTTCAGAGTATTCCAGGTGTGGTCTGACTAGTTCTTGTGTAGTTCTAGCAAGACATGTATTTCCATTTGAAATAGGGGTCAAGATTACATTTGCCTTCCCTATTATTTACCGAACCCAAGATACCAAGTTTGTTTGATTCATACACATGGACGCCACAATCCTTCCTGTTGCAGCTTTCTACACTCTCTTCCTCTACAAATATCATTCAGTCTTCTATCCTTCCTGCCAAGTGCATAGCCTCACATTTTCCCACATTATATTCTATCTGCCATGTTTTTGCCTACTCACTTGACCTGTCTATCTCATTCTCTAGACTCATTGTGTAATCCTCACTCCTAACTTTTCCACCTATTTCTGTGTCATCTGCAAAATTGGCGATAGTACATTCAATTCCTTTATCCAAGTCATTAATATATACTATAAATAATTGAGGCCCCAGCACTGATCCCCGATGGCACTCTTAGTTACAGGTTGCCATTTTGTAAATGCCCTCTTAACCCAATTCTCTGTCTCCTATTAGTTTGCCAATCCTTTATCCATGTCAATATACTACTTCTGACACCATGGACTCTTAACTTATTAAGTAACTTTATGTGCAGTATCTTCTCAAATACTTTGGGGAAATCCAAATATATTACATCTACTATCTCCATCTATCTATTGAACATCTTAGTTGCCCTTTATCTATCCTACTTGTTACCTCCTCAAACAATTCTAATAAATTTGACAGGCATTATCTCCCCTTCATGAAACCATGTTAATTCTGCTTGGTTATGTTATGTATCTCTAAATGCTCTAACATATCCTTTATAATAGGCTCTAACATCTTTCCCAATGAAAGATGTTAAGCTAACTGGCCCATAGTTCACTGCTTTTAATTTCTGTCCCTTTTGATACTGACAGTTTTCCAATCCTTTGGGACTTCATCCTTCACCAAAAGAAGCCAAATTACTACACAAGGTTGGAGGAACCTCGATAATGGAAAACAGATAGGAATTTGTAGGACTTTAGTTGGGCATTAGGATCAATGTTCCAATAAACCTAACATTAATCCATCTATCTTCATAACTAAAGATCCTTATCTATGACATTGTCTTCAAGAATCTTTTCTGCACTCTCTCTGATGCCTTCACATCTTCCCTGAAGTGGAGTGCCAGTAATTATACACAATACTCCAGTCAATTAGACAAGAGGTTTATCATAATACCTTGCTTTTGAATGAATTTCTGTCATGGGAGAGCCAGGAAATGTGAGGTGAATAATGGAGATGGGATTGCCAGGCAGAAGGAGAGGAAACCCTAAGACCAGAAGGAAGGATGAGGTAGTACAGGAGTTAAATTCAATGGGATTGGAAGAGGAATGGGTGACTGACAGTAGGAGATGTAAGAGGGCAAATGCATTGTTTCTTCAGTTAGACTTACCGCTACAATCCTCTTCATTGCTTCCAGTTTCAGGGAGTCCTTATTACTATCCAGCATCTCCTTCAGGTCGTCATGCCTGGGGAAAGTAAAAATTCTATTTGTTTCTGGTGATCACTCAGGATTTTAAATGAGCATTTTCTCCCAGCACATGCTTTATTAACCATTCTTTTTAACCTGGTCAGCCTTTTCCAAGAAAACACTCTGCCAAAAATAAAAGCAATTGTTATTATTTATTATTAGTTACCTCTTTGTCTCATCCCTCTCCTTTGTTCCAAAGAAGGTATCCTATATGAAAGAAAAGCTGTTCGCTGATTGTCCAAGAACTACAGGGATACCAATTTATGCTTATAGGCAAAGGATTAGGGGGAATGGGCTGTGTGAGGAAGAACTTTCTTGCTTTGATTTTTTTGATTTATTTATTGTCACATGTATTTTGTTCCAAAATACAATGGAAAGCGTTGTATAGTGCCACCATTCTCCAATGCCATCTTAAAACACAGAAAAATAAACCAAAATATAGACTGTAAAGGCAGAAAAATAAAGAAATAAAGAAAAAGAAATTAACTTTACAGTCCTTCTTATTCAGTGTTCTGCCATGGGTCACGGTCCTGGTGGCCAGGGCATAAGTCCCCTTCGCTGCGCCATCTCGCCTCCACCGATAACCTCGCCACTATGAGTCCTTAAATATGAATAGGTGGGTACTAAGGAAGTTAAGGTATCAACAGGCAGTTTCTTTCCACACACAATCTTCTACATCAAGGAAGTAAAGTTCATCCAGTTCTGTAAAGCGATCTTGTGGCATATGCTCCTCGTCAACATCCTCTGTCCCCAGGATAAGCTAGACACATTGATATGGTGTATCATATGAGGCAGACTCTTTTCTATCATCCCTAATGTCTTTATATCTTGAAATCCATCAAACTCTGTCTTGAATATACCAAATGACTCAGTCTCCAGAGGCCTCTGAGATCAGGGAATTCGAAAGATTCACTGCCCTCTGAGTGAAGAAGTTCCTCCTCATCTCAGTCTTATAAAACAAAATGGTATAAAATTCAAGCAGTGGGAAGAAGCCCTCATTTGGTATTTATACAGAACTGGTCACTGAGATGCAGGCTAGAAAATAGACCAGATTTTTATCTCTGCCTGTTCACAATCGCTTGGAATTTGCTGAAGCATCAACCTTCCCTAGCACTATCGTCAGAGAAATTGTACAAACATTTGAAACATTAACTGGAAGAAAAAAGTTTGGATTATTAGGTTATTTTTAACAAGTCAATAGGAAAAGTAAAACACTGTGGTCACTTATTGGTTATGCAAAGACATAAGGGGCTGAATCTTTTCTTCAGCCAAATCTGAGTTGCACCGAGTTTTCTGGAGGGATTTCCATCATGAGGCCTTGTAAGTATTTTTTTGCCATACATTACCAAACCTAGCCCATTAACTACCCATCCACCTCATGGGTGTCTCACTTCTGATTCCAGCCCCATCTTACTACATGCTTTTCCCACCAAGCCTCATGCTCTGCTACTCTCACTAATGCCTGCAACATCTTTCCTTACTCGCTGTTACACACTCCAACCCCTGAAACCGACAACCCTGCATGCCATCTGTGTTTTCTGATCATTGACTCAGGACACCTCCTCATCTGCACTAATTGTAACGGCTATGCCACCCACTTTCATCTCCCTTGTTATTACCTCTCTCTCGTCCCAACACAGCCGAAAGACTCAAGATGGGTGGTTTACTGCTCGATAATCAGCTCCTCACTCACTATGGGGATAGCATTCTGACTCTGACTGCCCTGAATGCTGACGGACCATTTCAAAGCGTCTGGACAGTATCGTAGGCTGCCCTTGACTTACTGTGCTAGGGTCCCTGAGCAAAGGTTATTCCCTTGACTTGGAGTCATACAGGTGTACAGCATGGAAACAGTGACTTCGGTGCTAAACTAATCGAGTTCCATTTGCCAGCATTTGGCCCATATCCCTCTAAACCTTTCGTATTCATGTACCCTTCCAGATGCCTTTTAAATGTTGTAATTATACCAGCCTCCACCTCTTCCTCTAGCAGCTCATTCCATACATGCACCTGCCCCTTAGGTCCTTTTTAAATCTTCCTCCGCTCACCTTAAACCTATGCCCTCTAGTTTTCGACTCCCCAACCCCGGGGAAAAGACCTTGGTTATTCACTCTGTCCATGCCGATCATGATTTTATTAACTTCTATAAGGTCAACCCTCAGCCTCTGATGCTCCAGGGCAAATAGCCCCAGCCTATTCAGCCTCTCCCTATATCACAAACCCTCCAACCCTGGCAACATCCTTCTAAATCTTTTCTGAACCCTTTCAACTTTCACCATATCGTTCCTATTACAGGGAGACCAGAACTGAAGGCAGTATTCCAAAAGTGGCTTAACCAATGTCCTGTATAGCTAAAAAATGACCTTCCAACTCCTATACTCAATGCACTGAATAATAAAGGCAAGCATACCAAATGCCTTCTTCACTATCCTGTCGACCTGGGACTCCACTTTCAAGGAACTATGAACCTGCACTCTAGGGTCTCTTTGTTCAGTAATGCTCCCCAGGACCTCATCATTAATTGCGCTGATTTGCCTTTCCAAAATGCAGCACCTCACATTGATCTAAATTAAACTCCATCTGTCACTCCTCAGCCCAACGGCCCATTTGATCAAGGCCTTGACTGATAGTCACAGGAAATTTCCTGGCTTTGTGTCAGTGCTAAATGGCAAGGCAAACAAAAGTAATATGAGCCTAGTATCTCTTGCTGAGTGGTAAGGCAATGCAAAGCAGGGATGCTGTAGCATCATGTTAGGCTTTGTAAGTGTTGTGAAATCAAGTGAAGCATCCAGAGATACAGCCTGGTCCAGTTGATGAGGTGATGCACGTCTCTGAATGCAAGGTCCTTGCTGTAACATTAAAATGTTAGTTTCAGAGATATGCCATGAGGGTTCTTAGAGATTGGACATATTGGAAGTCAATGTCCATGGGATGTTTGTGGCCTGTGTCCATGGACCATGCCCTGAAATGTTTGGAGTCCTTTGTAGCAAGCGGCATGCTGAATTTGCTAGGTACCCATTGTAGGTACCAAGTTAGGTTTTTGTGACATTTATCTTATTTGGAACATTTGGTATGGCAGAACAATGAATATTAATGTGGTAAGTTGGGCATCAACACGTGTTTAACAAGCTATAATCCCCTTAACTTGGCAACTTGCCACTGCCTAGAAACCTGTCACACGTTTGACAAAAACGATAAAAAATGGAAAGAGATGCTTCCAATACAGAGATGGGCCTTGTCAGACTCCTCATCTGATTCTGCCACAAATATTGCCATAGCCCATGTAGCTTAGAGCTCAGCAAGATTCTGCTCGTAATTATTTTAAGAAGGTGCATTTGATACTTCTATGAGATACACTGGCACCAAGTGTCTGCAGGGGAATTAAAGCAATTCCCCAGCACAGCCAGTGAAGTGGTTTAAGTAGTTTATCACAGAACTGAGAGAGAGAGAGTGAGCGAGACAGAGAGGTGCTGGATGGGACACAGTGCATGCGGGAGGGTGGGGTGTTGGATAGAGGAAAATGTGTGATTGGTTAGTGAGTTAATGGAATATCTGTAGATCCACGGGTGAACAGTATGGTATTTATTAATGACAAATGGGGTTTAGTTAATTAACTGAGGAATGGTATGTAGCCAATACAGGGCAAAATAATTGACTGGAAAATAAAATAAACAGAAATAGCATTCAATTACATTACTGTGATACCTCTAGCACTAACAGCCTCCATTCTAACTTCGCTGTCTAATAGCACAATCTCTTACAACTTACGAGAGTGATTCATGGCATTACCAGCCTAAGTGTCAAATGTATAATGACTGTGAGAAAGGCAGAAAAAGCAACTGCAATTTGTTCAATGTGCACAGTGGATAAACCTTCTACTAAGGGAGTCATTGAAATAAAGAAAGTTATAGGTTTTGTGATTGGGCATCTGGTAGGACACTATGTTGTTACTCCACTGTCCATGTATTGTTCTGAATTTGGAGGTTGACCTTCAGTTACTTAGCATAGGTGAGATCAGAGTCCATAATCAGACTCAGTTTAAGGAGCTCTGTAGAGAAAATAAAGCACAGAAGGAAATCTTGAAAAAGCAGGCCAGAGCAAATTTAAAGGGTTTTGGCCACTTAAAAGCAAGAAACAGCAAATGGGATAAAAAAAATAATACCGGCTGCTCTTAAAATAGGTCATTAATCATTTTTAATTGCACATTATTTGTGAATTGGATGCTCACTTGAAATGTTTGCAGGAGGAACATATGCAGGGTCATGGGGAAGAAAAGGAAGAGAGAAGCTAATGTGAGGATTAATTTAAAGAGCAGGTGCAATTGGCTTAATGGTCTGCCTTTCACCATGTCAGGCCTGTCCAATTGGGAGCCCACAGCCTCTAAGGAATTACATGTGACCTGCTAAACCATTGCTCAAAATATAGGTAGGTGTATCTGGACAAATTTGCAAGGAACTACTGCTCCAATCAGAGTCCATTTCTCTCCCATGATTGCTGAAAATAGTCAGCGTTTGAAAGAGCAATGTGCAGTGCCATGTGAGTAATGTAATTCACCCTGAGACCTGGAGCCATGACTGCTAATCTGTAAAACAGGAATCGGAGGCTTTCAGGGAGACCCTGGCTTGGGTAGGAGATATTAGGCTACAGGTGGCAGGAAAGGGATTGGAGGAGGGCTGGTTAGGAGTCAGGTGGGCTTTTAATGGTGGAGTGAGTGTGAGTGATGGGGGTTTGATGGGTGGATGTGTGAGTGACTGATTAACTGGGGGTGGGTTGGGGGAGAAAGCTGAATGGGAGAGTGGGTAGGACTGAGCTAGATACAGATCCACCCTTCACCTCCCTCCATCTCTATCCTAGCCTCATACCAGGCTGAAAAACGAGGAACATCTGGAATGGTGAGCAACCTGCCTCCAACTGCTACCTTCAAGTGAATTCTTCTGAGGCCAGCTCAGAGTATGCCACACCACAGTTAAAAAAAAATCAGTTAGTGTCAAACCCAAC